ATATATATATATATATATATTATTTTTTATTTTGTATATTTTATTATTTTATTATTTCTTTTCTTTTCTTTTTTTTGTTTTCTTTGTTTCCGATACATACACATTTAAATATTTAACTGAAAAATGACACAATTGCAGTCGGTGTATGAAATGATAAAGGACAAAGACAAGGACCCAATCTGTTGCATATATAATGCTCCCAGAAACAAATGTTGGCGGCACTTCGTAAAGGATGTTCACTTTGAGGACCTAAATGATATGAAGTTTGAAGACATCGAAGCTAATGAAGACAAAAGGACTTCTAATTGGTATAATTGGTTGAAGTCTGAGTATACGACATTGGAGTGTCGAATGACTAATCTTAGATTGGACTGGAATCCTCATCATGACATGGAGACATGAAGACTTGTTTAGATATGTTTGATAGAAAATTGTTTAAAGATGGTTGTTTTATGTAATTTATCCATTTTGGCCAAGTGTTATATCAAAGTGTTGTTTAGTGGTTCATTGGTAATTTGTTCAAAGGAACATAAAATATATTTGATCCTAAAGCCTTTTTTGGGTCTCTTTATTTAAGTGATGTCTGATATTCTATATTCCATTGAACATCGAATGTGTAACCAAGAGAATCTGTCACGAACACAATGGTGGCCAGCTAATATATAGCAAATTATAATTGAAAATGAGCTATTTGATATGTGTAGTTATGATTGGTCTAGTATAAGGCCTTATAATATAACGGACTACGCTGTTAAAAAGTATAATGTGATATTCTTCTTAAATTGGAATCAGATACGGCATAATAGCCGCTAATTTGTTGCTTATATTAACATCAGTTTGCATTGCAATCAGTAGTTGCGCTATCATAACGAATCGTTGTGTCTTCCAAAGTTCCTGTATCTGGTGTACGACCTCTTTGGAAGTTAATAGCCCCTATGGTAAAGAAACACCGGATCCCTATCGTTTTTATTATTTTAATTAGTAATTTGTGTTTTTTTCTTCTTTAACGTTGTTCGGTTGAATTTGTCCAAACACAAATTCTAGTTTTATAATGCGAAGTGTGCTAGAATTTTAGTAATCAGTTTTGATGGAAATTTTTTAAGAAGAAAGAATTTTCTATTAAGGAATATACTTTGGTGACTTTGCCTCCATGGTAGGAACTATGAAGGACGTGGTTCAATTCTCTTGTTTAGCATATGATGTTAAATTTTCATCGTTGGGTAGGTATGTTCCTTTTCTATATAGGTGTTCTTGAGAGTTGTGTGACCCATTTTTTAGGAAGGAAAAAGCAGGAAGAAGAGCGTAACAGTGGGAACATGGGGAGGAAACGGGGGAAATAGCTGGGATGATGGAAGCTTCACAGGGGTGAGAGAAGTGAAACTAGTTTATGATCATTGCATAGACTCAATCCAAGTGGTTTATGATAGGAATGGGAAGGCTTTCACAGGTGAAAAACATGGAGGAGTTGGAGGTAACAAAACAGCAGAGGTAAGTAAAGGTGAATTATTGTTTCAGCATTTTATAAAGTTTAAACATAAAAGTGTTCGTGTATCGTAGATTAAGCTGCAATTCCCAGATGAGTTTTTGACGAGTGTGAGTGGCCACTATTGTCCCGTTGTTGGTGGAGGGAGTCCCGTGATTCGGTCGTTGACATTGAAGAGCAACCGCAGAACCTTTGGACCGTATGGAGTTGAAGAAGGGACCCCATTCAGTTTTTCAATAGATGGAGGGTATGTTGTGGGTTTTAAGGGGCGAAGTGATTGGTATTTGGATGCAATTGCTTTCACTTTGTGTAGCCCAAGATCAAAGTCGCTGTTTCAGAAGGTGCAGAAGGGCTTGTATAGGCTTGCAAGCACTGCTCCAAAATCTTCATCCTCCAAGGATGCCTAGAACACCATACGAATTTCAGACTTGTCTATGTTTGTGATGCAGTTATGCTTCTTTTCTTGTAATGCATAGTTCGTTGGTGTGTGAACTATACTACTATTGTAACGACAAGAGAATGATATTATCTATTAAAAAAAATACATATATTGCATATTCCGTCAGTGTACGTATATAAAAGTGGCCTCTTGCTATATGAGAATAAAAAAGGTTGGATCACGAGGGTGTAAGCCCCGTTCGGTTAGTCTGTAGAGACCATGTGAATGACTGTGATATCGGCCAATCTCTTGGGCGGAATTTGCGAAGGCTCCACACGTGTCTCAGCCCCTCGCCATATAGACGAGGCAAATCCCAGCTCCAAGTACTCGTTTCCGAGTCTGCATCTCTGCAGCAGGGGCCCGGGGACTTTCCTGAGCCCAGCTGGTTGCATAGACCCACTCACATCGCCTCATGATCCAAGCAATATGTAATCTGAATTTCCAGTATATAAAGGTCTTCAAACCATCTATAACTATCGATGTGGGACTTTCGTTCAAACGTATATAAAATACGAGTCCGAAAGAAATTCATTAGCCGCCGCGATTAAAAGATTGTGTTGTGTATCTCAGGAATTAACAAAAACATTATCTATTAAGTTATTAATATAATTATTTAAAAATTTATTAAACATACGATATTAGACTGGTTTAAAATGATTCAAAATAACTCGAATTTATTATTAAAAAACGTCAGGCTTAGTTTCTTAAAATTGAAGCCATTTAAAATCTCTTTGGACTAAGTGGGTGGAATGGGCGTAGGGATGACAATGTGCCTATGGGGCAGGCAATAGTAAACTCGTTTCTGTTTTGCTAGATGAAAATTGACCTTATACCTATTTTATATTTGTGCGGGTATTCATGAATTTTTTAAATATTCACAGATATTTAATGTCATTGAAATATTAAAAATAAAAATTTAATGTTAATTTTGAACTTCTATTTAACGTTAATTTTGTTGAAATAATAAAAATGTAAGATAATCAATAACTTAAAATACATCAATCTCACACAAGTAAGTGAAAGTCTCATATGACAAAGTTACAATAATTTAATCTCATAATTCTAAACGAAGGTAAACAATTTAAAATACATAAATCTTATTGGTTCAATCAAAGTTAGAAAATTAATCAAATTACATCCAACATAATTCTATGGAAAGAAAATAAGATGAGAGAGTATAGTTTTAGCCTATCTATTTATTATTCATAGCAAATTTTACTCGTGGATGCGAGTATATTTGTTATCCTTAAATGGGTGAGGTCATGAACACTCTAGTGCCACCAATTTGAGCCATAAGAATGTAGCAAACCTATCGATATTTGACGTGTTCTTTTCCATATGAAGGCAACCGTGTTATGTATGAAAAATAGACAGAATAAGAATAGATAACTTTAATTAATAAATCTTGTGAAAGAAAGGTTACGGTCGGATTTGATTTGAGAGACATGTTGCATTTCCTTTAAAAACATTAATAATTTCATGTCTGATTAAAATTTATTTTAATACATATGTAGGTACTGATTTTGTTGTTGTTAAAAGGTCCTAAATTATAAAAATTGCAATCAAGTCTATAATTTTTTTATTAGATCCTTAGACTAATAGTCATTTAACAAATTATTAACTTTGACAGAATATTCTTAATTTTTATCTGATCTTAAAGACCTAATTATAAAAATTGAAAGAAAAAAAAAACTTAATTTCAAATCTTACAGTCTAGGAACTTAATTCAAAAGATTCACGGACCTATAAATATATTATCCTATATAATTTATGTATCTTATGAATTGGATCACCTTATACAATAACACATGTATATAAAAAAAAAATTATATAAGAAAGATTAACTACCATTTAACGAAGGAGATGCATTTTTAGTAGGGTTATTAAAATGATTCACTTCGTTCGAATTAATCTAAGAAGACAAAATTTAAAAAGTAGGTGACACCAAATTTCATGTCACAATTAATTTTGACCTATTTGACTTGATAAATCAAGTTCAATTAACATTTTATATATATATATATAAATTTATATATTTTTATTTGAAAAAAATAGAATAAAAAAGTGATGGAGTTATTTTATATTTTTATTTCATACCCAATTCCACAATGATAAAATATTGTCCGCTTTGAGTCTAAGGAGACTCAGATTGTGTTTTTTATTATTACCCAAAAGGTTTTTCAAACATTAGAGTATGCATGTATTTTATAAGTTGTTATTTTTTCTCTTATTTTATCGATATGAAACTTGTTTGTATAATAATAAAAAGGTTCTAATTTTTCATCTAACACTTTCATGGGTTTGCCTAAACAATTTGTCTCATTGAGGTATGATCAATTGACCATGATCTTTTCTATTTCAATAGAGTTTAGTCTAACATGACCCATTAACCTATTAACTTGGATCAACTTAGACAATTTTAATGTGTAATGGTTATAACTTTCTTTATACATACATACACACACACATATATATATATATATATATATATCTATGTAATTTACTTAGAAATATTATTCCCTTTGTTTTTGTTTTGATATTGAGGGTCTACTACTGGAAAATCCTTAATGATACAAGTACTAATTGTCTATATATATAGCAATTCGACGTTACAAACATAAATCTCATGTTTTTTCGTTATGATCCCATGAATCACGTTTTATCATTATTGTCATTAATGAACTCGTAAATCTCGGTATTTATGTTAGCTATGTTATTCATCTCACATATCACAAGATCTTGTTGCTTGTTTGAGTGTGCAAGTTTCTATACGTGCAGATAGAGTCCTTTCTATCTATTTATCTATCTATTTATATATATATATAAATATATATATATATATATATATATATATAACTGACAACTAATTATATCTTTTAATTGTGTCATGTCACTGTTAAAAGTAAATGTGTTTATTAAGTGTATAGGTGATTAACTATATATATATATATATGAGGATTATAATAATACTGGTATAATTTTTATTAAGTATTACACCGCTCAATAATTTTATATGAAATGTAAATTTTGTAAATTCAACCGTTAGATTGAAAGTTCATATCACTTTATATGTTTATATCAAATTTTATTAAAATTAAACAACAACTTAAAGGTAATCAAAGTGATCATATTATTATATTTTAAAATGTATATATTATGTCAATTTTGTTTTATAAGGGTGAAGTATCAAATTATCTTGGATTAATATAAAAATTTGTATATATAATTTAAAAGTAAAGAACTTTCAATTTAACGGTTGAATTTACAAAATTCACATTTAATATAAAATTATTGAGCGGTGTAATACTTAGTAAAAGTTACACTAGTGTTATTATAACTCTCCCCACTCTCCTCTCTCTCTCTCTATATATATATATATGTAACTTACTTAGAAAATATTATTCCCTTTGTTTTTGTTTTGATATTGAGGATCTACTACTGGAAAACTCTTAACGATACAAGTACTAATTATCTCTATATATAATAATTCGACATTACAGACATGAATCTCAAACTTCTCGTTATGATCCCATAAATCATGTTTTACCATTATTATCATTAATAAACTCGTAATACTTGATATATATATGTTAGCTATCTTATTTATATCACAAATCACAAAATCTTGTTGTTCGTCTGAGTGCGCAAGTCTCAATACGTACATATAGAGTCCTTTTGGAAGTATAGACTTCAACATTTACTTGAGGGACCTCTTGATCCGACTAAGAGATAGAGATGGCAAATAAACCCGTACCCGTGGGAAATACCCGAACCCGTCCCGACTTTGACGGGAAATACCCGCTTTGACCGGGTACAGGTACGGGTACGGGTACGGGTAAAACCCGATAAAAAAAATCGGGTACGGGTACGGGGTCGGGTATATACTTACCCGCCCCGTCCCCGTCCCCGTCCCCGTCCCCGGTTAAATACCCGTCCCCGGTTTAATTTTTTTAAAAAAATTAACATTTTAAATATTGTTGTAAAATCTAAAGGCCACGAGCAACCAAACACTTAGCTTAGGCCAACTTTTCAAATCTGATTCACAGTCCGACAAACACTCTACTTTCTCCCTCCGAGCCACCGCACCAGCCACTCAGCCACGGAGCCACCGCACCAGCTACTCCAGCCTCTACTTTCTCCCTCCGAGTGGCTCCCTCAGCACGACTGGTACGTCTCTCTCGCTCAATCTTCTTTCTTCCTTCCCTCGCAGCGGGGCTGGTATCCGTCGAGGACTCGAGGTTGCGCCGTCGATTGTCCCTCAATCATGTGGATTTGTTTTTTTTTTTTCTTTCTCTATACTGCCACCCACAATTTCTATGGTAAAAAGTAATGTGGGATGGTTTTAATCAGATAGCAACAAAATAATAGGGTTTTCCTTTTTTAATATTTAAATTGGGTATAGTTATTAAACTAACTTTCCAAGTTGGTGATGGTTATCAAACATTGTAGCTACAATCATATTTGCTTTTACAACAACCTCAAATATAGGCCTATTTGGGTTTGGGATTACATTCAATTATTTTTCATGGGGGTCTGAAATTTGAGAATATAATTTACAACCGTATAGAATTTGTAAAGCCAAATTCATGGATTTTTACATGGTGGTACTAGTACAGATGCCAAAAGGATTTGACACTTTTCTCAACTTGCAATTCTTTGGTGTATTGGTTGGAAAGAAATGCTACAATCCTTGTTAGTTGTTCATTACCTAGCTTGTTGGTGATGTTCTACTCATGATCTTCTTATATGGGTGTCTTTGTTGGTTCGACAAAGATTGGCATGCTGCATTGCATTTTTGTTTTAATTTTTTGTCCTTTTATTCATGATCTTTTTTTATTATTATTTTTTTAAAGTTCTTGAGGATTTCTTATTCTGTTGCATTTATACTCTTCTCTTGATATATTCTTTGATTATAAAAATCAATTTTTCCAATGATTTCAGGTCTTTGAGAAGTCCCTGAACTGTAACTTTTCAAATATGGATGAGGTATATCTAATATTCAATTTAGTTTGTTGCATCATTCTGTGCTTGTAACATTATTATTATATTTTGCTAATTCCATTTCCTCACTTCCCGTAAGTTACAATAAGTTGCATTAATAAACTTTTCAATTTATATTTTTGTTTCAGTATCTTGATTTGTTTCTTACTCGGGTAGATGGCTTAATTCCATTTCCTCGCTTCATTAATGGTTATATTTATTTTCAGTAAAGCTATGTAGGAGTTGAAAGTAAAAATGGTTTAATGGTACTTTTGCTCCATTAATTTTGATTGTCTTTGTTAGATTTTTTTCTTGGTCTCCACCTTGTATATTTATCCAGCTACAGTAGTTTGACCGTGTGAGAAGCCCAATAGAAGTGTAGTAAGAAGTTGATCTGATTTAGGATAGTCCAGTAGTTTGAGGTAGGCTTAATGACTTGATTCATGACAAGTAGTGTCGTCTAATTTTTTATAAATTGTCTTATTTGACGGAAGCTTAATGACATTACTCAACATTTTCCACTTGTAAGATGAATTTTAATTTTTATTTGAGAAATTTCAGTTTATTTTGTTATTTCAACTCAACATTGTGGTTGTTTATTTGTGACATTACTCAATATTAGTGGTTGTTTAATTTGTAAGATTTTAATTATGTGTGGTTATTTATTATGATGTGAAATATTTGTAGTTGTTTAATTATTAAAAAGTCTCTTGATTAAAATATGAGATAGACAAACAACCTAATTATCATTGTAATATAATATAAAGATAAGTTAAAAAAACTTAATTTTTTTATATAAAAAAATTAATTTTTTTTACGGGTACGGGTATACCCGATACCCGACGGGGACGGGGATGAGACAAAATTTACATACTCGACGGGTATGGGGACGGGGGCGGGTATGGGTTTCAGTCGCGAGGACGGGGACGGGTATCATGAAACCCGTACCCGCCCCGCCCCGTTGCCATCCCAACTAAGAGACCTCTTGGTTGGTGGAATTGTTGACAGACCTAAAGTCGGTCATAAGGAGACCACAATGGTACAATTTCAAAATAAAATTTAACACAAGTTTTATATTAAATAGTTTGAATATTTTTAACTGCGTCCTTTTTCAATTTTTGTAATTAGGTTAGCTTAAGGCAATATTTTGTAAACAGACTATTATTATCACGGACTTGATCACATAAATTTTAAATTACTTTTTTTTGGTTTTGAGAAATATTTAAAAAAGAAAAAATTGAACACCAGTTATATGTATCTACTTTATGATTAGACCGATGAAAATTAGCTATGCTTATTAGACCCAGGTGTGTAACAAGCCTGCAACAATTCATCAATTACACAAAACGGCTGCTACAAAAAGAACACGAGCGTCATATCTTTAGCGTGTTCATTTATTAAAAGTATAAAATTAAAAACACAATAGTCTAGTTCTTTATTAAACAACAAAAAGGTAACTTAATTCTAATATATAAAAAATATTCCTTAGATTTAATGGGAACATCTTTGGGCAATGAAGAAATTGCCATATGAATTTGAGATTCCATTTCTAGAAAAAGGATAAATGTTTAATGTGGAAAGAGTTCAACACTCGTGACGACAAATAGGGACTCCGTTACAAAATATAAAGCTAGTCTTCATTATTTTACTTAAACTTCATTATCGTTTTCAACGAGCAACATCGTAGCAAGCATTGGGCTGTTCCTGCATCATTATGAGCAACACGAACTCTGACCCAGTTACAAGGGTTATAAAAATAGTTCTAATTAGTAAAAGTAAAAAAACTGTTAATGGGCCACGACTTGTTTCTCCCTTTTATGTTCAAGGAATCAAATTTCTGTGCAGTTTAAGAGAAGCCGTCATTGTCAAAAAATATGATCATAGCAAGAACATCCATCCTTGAACCGTTTCGTAAAAAAAAAAATGATTGAAAACTATAACATAGTAGTTCCAGTTGTATATTGAAAACACAATAATTGCCTTTCCAAACAAAACTCCGCAAATCTAAAATCTGAGTTCTGGAACAAAAACTACAAAAAGATGGTAGAAATGTAGAATGCAATTGAAGTCTTGTGAATTCACTTCCTGCCAGGAACCTTGACAGCCTGTCTGTTTCTCTTCTTCACACCAGACTTGGCAACTTTGAGGCTCCTATGCACAGCGCTCAACCTTGCCAGAGCTGCCTTTTTCAGATCAGGCCTGTAGTAGTTATCTGCAACCTGCAATACATAAGAAGACACAATTAGCAACGTGCATACACGCGGGGCTATACAACTAGTTAACAAAAATAAAAAATCAAAGAAAATAAGCATTCAACGAGTAGAGAAGAACTAGTAAACAAGCTAGCAAAAATATGAAATAAAATTACAAAACTGTGTAAAAATAAACCTAAGATTGCATGTGAGCAAACGCACATTATGTTCATTTACAACATACATGTTCATGAGAACAATTTATGTGTGCCAGCCAAACAAACTATTACATATTAACACAATGCAGATTGCCTTCGTATTGATTGCCAAAGAATTCAGTAGAAAACAAATAAAACCGTTCTATGATAATTGCAAAGATTGAGAAGGTATTGATTACCAAATAATTCGGAACAAAAGAAATAAAACTAGAGTTAATCACCTATACACTGCTAACCAATTATATTTTTTAACTGTACCATATCACTGTAAACACATTTACTTTTAAATGTGACATGACACAATTAAAAGATATAATTAGTTACCAGTATAAATGCATAGGTAATTAACTCATAATTATTCTATAATAATTTTTCAGGCAGCATCGGGTGATACCGTAATAGTTAATTAAGACATGAAAAAGGCCAGAATCCTTCTATTAACAATTACACTATTCCATTCAAGAAATAACTTCTGATTGATAAAAAGCTCAGAAGCCAAGCGTAACAAGTAAATTTCATTGAAGAAACCAAACTAGAGATTTCTTCTTACATGTTAGAGGCTCATCACCGCTGGTATTAAAAATTGCATTACTACATTCCATGAGAGGTAGCCAAACAAACAATTTCATATTAACACAAAGCAGATTGACAAGGTATTGATTGCCAAATAATTCGGAACAAAAGAAATAAAATCATTTTATAATAATTTTTGTGGTAGCATAAGGAGATACTGTAATACCTAATTAAGAAAAAAAGGCCATAATTTTTCATTAATAATTGCATTACTACTATCACGAAATAACTTCTGAAAGATAAAAGCTCAGAAGCCAAGCGTAACAAGTAAATTTCATTGAAGAACCCAGACTAGGATTTCTTCTTACATGTTAGAGGCTCATCACCGCTGGGAAAAACTCACTCATAGCAGAGGTTCCCAAATCACACATCTGGCAGTCATGTTTCTCAACAAACAATTCATTTAAAATAAAAACATGTACGTTAATGTACAAAACCATGTCAGTTTCCCCTTAGGTTGTACCAAAATGCTTTCAAGTGTTTACATGTTAAGCAAGCTTCATCACCCAAAAACAAAAGTCACACAAGTTGCCAAAATCTTGATAGACAAGACATATAACAAAGGTTGAAGTACTAAACCAATTTGAAATTTAACTGCAACATCAAAACAACAAAAAAAGGTAGTTATATTTTTCCAGGATGCTGAAGCCAAGTTGAAAAGCATATTTAGCTACTGGGATTGACAGCAAATAAAAATGCAGCTACCAAAGAACAAATTTTGTCAAATAGGAATAAAAATAGCTTTCCAGAATCATACACCATTTAAATGAAACAGGATAGTCGCACTACAGAAAGGAATAAAAAACATGAAAGAACTTCTGAATGATAAAAGCTCAGAATCCAAGCGTAACAAGTAAATTTCATTGAAGAAACCCGACTACGGATTTCTGCTTACATGTTATAGCCTCATCACCACAAGGAAAAACTCATTTATGTGGGAGGTTTAAAAAGGTTTCATGTACCAAACAACATCTACAGTCATATTTCTCAACAAAATTTAATCATTCAAAATAAAGACACGATGAATTGTACAAAAAATATTTCACAAATCCCCCTTATGCTGTACCAAAATGCCTTCAAGTCCAACATGTTAAGCTAGCTATACAGCAATCACCAAAAACTGGATAAACAAGACATCTTTAACTAACAATAAAACATACACAACAAAATTTAACGCATCAAATTATTTTGTAATTGATCTGCAAGAACACACAATTTCTCATAAATGAAGACAAACCCCAAAACTTTCATCTAGCAGCTTTTGACTGGGAAAATGTAGTTAACCCAGCACACATGATGGTCAAATGCAAAAAGAAAAAAAAGGCACACAACAATTTAAAACATTTTTCAACAAGCCAAAGCTAAAACAAAAAGCAAATTTAGCTACTGAGAATAACGGCTAACGTAAATATGCAGCTACCAAAAAAAAAAAAGACATTATACATCATTTACTCCATAGTCCATACCAATAAAATGAAACAGGGAAGTCACCCTAAAAAACATACAGAGAAACTAATTTAGTTCTCTCCCAAATTACCTGATTTTGCACTGACTTTGCCATCCTCCTGAACTCCTTTTTCATGACAGATTTGTGAAGCAAAGCACTCGGCTTATTTTGCTTCTTTGTCTTTGTTGTTGCCAGCAACACAGATTGGTCTTTACCAGCAGGCAGGATAGTAACAGTTTTCTTGTTCGCCAAACCTATCACACCACCACAAACATTAAGTGAGCTTCACTCGCAAACGATTGAAACGCAAGAACACTACACACATAACGGTTCATTCATCGATCACCTTACATCAAAAGCATAACCAAATCATCCAAACACAAAAACTGAATGACAAATCAAAAAATTGAAACTGTAATGACGTAATAGATGACAAGGGCATACCAGAGTACTTGAAAGTGTTGAGGTTGTAGAGATTGTTGGGCTCTCTGCTGAACTGCACGCTCTGAGTGCCCCTTCCGAACTCCTTCACCAAGAAAGCGTTGTTCTTCTTCACGATCTCCCAGATGAGTTGTCCAGGTACTGTCGCCATTTTCTTCTACTTCCTCACCTGAGACACACCGCACCAGATCTAAATTCAGATCAAAGCGTAAATTTAAGATAACACTAACAAAAACAATTAGAAAAACCAAAACCTGAAGAACCTTCGCTTGTTGCGCAGTGGAGAGTGAAGAGGAAGAGGGTGTTTTCTTTCTGTCAGAATTTATAGCAAGTAAAATGAAAAACCCTAATTCGACTCTTTGGATTAGACCCGGTCCAATAGTAATAGGGCCCAAAGCCCTAAAGCATAACACGCACACACAAAAAAGATAAATTGCACTGTTAATATATATATATTATTTTTTTATGATCTATTTTTTATTTACTAATTTATTATTTATACATATAATAAAGACAATCTTACATTTTGGTTCATAGATTTTTTTAAATAACTATTATTTTATCTTGTATAATGTATATGGTAATTATTTATTTATATAACTAAAATTTATATAGTATATAAATACTTTTAAATATATAAAATAGGTTATAATTCAATTCATAATAAATAAATATTTTTATTATATTGATTATATTTTAAACTTATAATAAATAATTTACATGTGATATGAAATTAGTTTTTACTGGTAACTTCTTTTAAGAAGATATTGAAATAAAATTTAGAAATGAAGATAAAAATAATATATAGAAAGATATAAGATCTTAAGAAAAATTCTTAAAAAATAAAAATAAAATTCTTAAAAAGACGTTCTTATAAAAAAAATCCTAAATATTTTTTCATTTAAGAAATTATTTTCAATTTGTATACAGAGAATCTTTCAATTAAATTTATAAACCACATCTCAATTAAAACAATTATTATAAAAATAACTTTTCAGCCGCAGTTATTTATACTCTTCAATCATTTTTTTTATTTACTGGAAAATAAAAATAAAAATACATGAAAACAGGCACGATATTGTTTTTTTTTCTTCTTATAAAGTAACATTTATTTATTTAATAAGGAGAGATTAACATATAAACAAAATAATTTTTAAATTAAAAAAGATAAAAACAGAATTTCAAATAAATTTGATGATAATAATAATAATAAAAAAGAGATAAAAAAAGTTAACACAAGCTTATTTTAGTTGGATGAACTTATAAGCAGGTTAAAGAACCTTACAAGTTCGTCGCTTTGTCAAACACACTTCAAGTGTTTTATTTTATGACTTCTACATTTCTACTAGACTTATAGTTATATAGTCGGTTAAAACTAAAAGCTTAGAATTCATGAATTAACTTGGGATGAAGATCTTTATCTATATTTACTACTATAATACGAGTTGTTAAGTCTTCAATCTCGATTCTTCTAAGAGAAAAGACCATAAATAGTGAATCTATTGTTTTCAGTGAAACATACTAAATTTTTTTTCTCCTTTTCCCCCTATACATAACTTGGCAAGAGACATTAAGGCTTCGTTTGATATTGGGCAGCAAAAAGAAAATCACTCAAGAATTTAAAATGCCCTTTTGTTCTTTTCCCCTGATGAAACTAACAGCTGAAGGTGGAAAACAAATATTTTATGGGCTAAAAAGCAATCTCACTTTGATTATGCACTTTAATCAAGGGAAGGAAATAATCGCACTTTACGATCCAGGGAGAAATCAGAAACAGACATAACTATGTCCACGATTTAAGTTAGGAACAATTCATCATAATCATAGATAATTGATAAGCGGTAAGGAAATTATGTTGTTCTTGATTAACTCTTCGTACGTTTTGATCACAAATGAATACAGAAAAAGTTCCAAGCAAATACAAATATGCAAGAGTGGAATGGCATCAAATCCAAGTATTCTCAATTTCAATTTTCTTTTTCAATTATAACCTTGTAGAATTCAGAGGCGGCTTGGAGAATAAAAATATTCCCGTCCAACATCCGAATACAGTATGAAGACGACTTTTGGAGAACCTGAATTCATGAGATGACTTTTTGAGAACCTAATATCAGGTCACCATTACCTAATACTAGATCATCTTTACAACTCAGCTAATGTTACATTATTTACAAAGCCAACAGAAGCCTCAGGGGGATTACAATTCAACCAAATCCTGCCAGTTCTAATGGAAAATGTCTTGAAAATCTTATGCTGCAAACTGCACTTATAGATAAACCAGATGTTATTGTCGGCAAAACTAAACCAAAAATCTCTCGAGTTACCAAAGAAACAATTCTCCATATAAGCCGTTGTCTGCAACTCCTTCCCAATAACTGAAGTTCAAGGGTTGGATGTTGGTATTGCACGGTTTGTTGGCCGTGCCTGACCACTCACTGCTTCACTTATCCTACTAAATACTACTTTAAGGGGAATACAAGCTATGATAGGACCCTTGAGCTTATTTCCCACTGGTCTTCTCTCTTCTGATTGCCTGTGTCCAGTCAGCGAGGACAACTTTCGAATCTTTTTATTCAACAGACCAGATTTTTTCTTTTTGGAAGATTTACTGCGTGAAAAACGTGACAATTTCTTGGAATGTTTTCTTCCAGTTGCCGAGTTTGGCTTGATCACAAAAGTGTCGCCACCTTCCATGTCACGTCCAATGCCACTCAACACTCTATCACAATAACCATCATCCAAAACATCTACTGTCAAAGGGTGTCCAATAAAGGCTTTACCATATAGTTTACTAACAAGAGAAACTAAAGGGACATGCTGTGGCCGATAGCTGGATTTAACTTCTAGTTTAACATCATATAACGAAGCATCGGAACAATAACTTCTTCCAGGAAAATCTACCGTTTGATATCTGGAGTTGACAGTAAAACGAGACTGGCGATAAGGAAGTGATCTCTGAGGTGTGAGAGATCCATCAGGCAATAGCTTTACTTCTGTTGTCCCCCTAATACGCTTGCTCATATCCTGAATCCCTTCTAATTGGCCTTCAGCAACAGGTTTGCACCTAACTTGAGATGTAGCACCAATGATATTCAGATCAACTTTTGGCTCAGCACCCTGAGAGAATCCACTGGACTTCTCTATTCCAACCAAATAAGCACTGGATTCATCATCCATGTCCATGTGTTTTCTTGAGACTTCTTTTCTATTTTTACTAAAATGTCTTGAATTCCTCTTTCCTTTTGACTGCCACTCTGAACTATCTTTCTCTGTTCTATGGTCAATAGAATTATGACCAGCAGCTGAACTTCTACGACCAATATTCTGACTGTCGTTTCTCAATGACATAACTTCAGATTGACTAAGATGACATGATTGTTGTTCTAGTGCATCAACTTGTGGCTTTGCAGATGAACAAGCAGGAACAGGTGAGAAACCTGGCAGAAGAAATTACATCAGTGCATTTCAGCAAGGGCGTTCCTCAAACCACAGAGAATATAAAGAAGCAAGAGTTACGGCTAAAGTGAAGCAGAAAGCACAGTCGAAATGTCACTGAACTATATTTTACTGTTTCAGAAAAAGGAGAGGTTTTTTTAGAGAGAGAAACAATTACAAATAGATGAAGAGCAAAGAAAAATAAAGTATTGGTTTGAAAACCTCAAACAGAACACTTGCATATTAAACTAACCAACTTATACCAACTCAACATACCTACAAAGGAAGCACTTTAAACTACGTATTGTATAGCATTGCAATGCAAGAAAAAAACCATGAAAACCATATAAAAACAGGTACAGGTAGCAAACTTTAACAAGTGAAAAATTTGTTTCTGCAGCTCAAGTTAATAACATTAATGAAACTTGATCAAGTGCTAAACAAAAGGTCAATGTGTCTCAAGCCATTTCTTCTACAAGAGAACAACTATAAAATCATGTTATAATTTAGCTCATTCAGTAGTTAATATATTATCACTGGGCCTCTTCAAGGATCCACAGTCGTTTTCCATCTATGTTATTTAAATTCCATGTGCTGAAATCGTATATGAATCAAAATATAAGCAAAACAATTAGAATAATTAAAATGACAAATAGCCAAATACAGAAAATCAAACATAAGGAGTAAGAAGATAAAATACAAAAGAGGCAGTTCAAAAAAAAAAATTATTAACACTTCTCCAACATTTGTGTCTAAAAGACTCAGTTGCACACAGCACATACCTGTGGCATGTTTCTCCTCCTCAGGAACCCTGACAAATGGTACATCAAATAATTTATCAGAGGAATCATTCTTAATTATAGCACAAGTTTCATTCTCCTTTACTGTGTGATTGATTTGAGAAGCTACACAACCATGATCACAAATATTTAATGAAGTTCCATTCTCACAAGCAGCCTCAGTACTATCAGAATTATGAATTGGCAATGGAGAATCTTTTTTTGGTTCATTGGAATCTAATCCCGAAGTCTTACTATCAGTGACTCCACAGAGCGGAGAACTGCCTGAACCAGGAAGCTGATCACAAATTAGTGGAACTGACACCATGGCTGTACTCTCCAAAACCTTAGTCAATTGCCGGCGCCGACTTTTCCTTCTCAATGATTCATGAGTATTTGCCACTTGCGATCTCTTTCTTTTCACTGCGGAAGAATGACCCTTACCACCAACAATAGAAGTCCCATTTGTGAGGCAATTCCATGGGTTTGAATTGTTGAGAAAACCACCATTTTGCTGAGCTGCCTCAGGTCTACCTGCACCCAGAACCTTCCTCTTTGACACTACGCCAATGCCCAAGTCCTCAAGCCCCCTCATCCGCTTGACTCCTTCCGTTCCATCATCTTCCGAATCATTAGGTGTCCTTCTTCTCCTTCCCTTGGGAAAACCATTCTGACTGGGCTCCTCAAAAGACAGACCAGATTGGGACAATTCAGGAGGCGAGTTAGAATTGTCTTCAGAGTCAGTCAGATCGTCATCACCAGTGACATCCTCATCAGCATCAGCATCAGCATCAGCATCAGCATCAGCACCAGAAGGAGACATAACCGGCGAACCTTGGGGCAAAACAGGCGAGCCAGAGCAGAAGTTTAACGCCTCCTTACCCAGGCGAGCACTCTCGAGCTCAAGAGCATGAAGAATAGCATCTTCCCTGCGAGCATACTTGACGGCCTTCTTGTTGGAATTGGCAGCAGAGGCCTTAGCCTTCTCAATGCACCCATCATACTCCCCACACCTAAAAGCCTTAACCCGCTTTGACTTCTCAAGATTATACCAATCCCTACAACCACAAATTCATTTCCCCCAAATCAGACAACACCACAACAATTCCAATCCCAAGCGCATATAAGAATATTTACTATTCAACAATTAGCAATAAAGAGGATTGACATGCAAAGCGAAATAAAGGGATAGAAGAAACACTGACACGCTAGCATCCTCGCGGCCCAAAAGCTTAACAGGAGTGCCCGATCTCGGAGAAACTAAGCAAGTCTCGGACAGTTCATGGAGGCCCATTATCCGGCCCGGCCACCACGACCCATTACGCCGGCGGACCCACACAAGCCCACCCTCCGTGGCGTCGATTCCGTTCTCTCCCATTCTCTCCGAGTCTCAACCCAACACCATTGCACCCTAAAATCAAATCAGAGAGTGGCGTGGTGGGTGATCCAGCATGCAATAAATACGCACCGGGTAAGGGTGCAAATCGAGCAGAACAAGAATCAACGTCCTTGTTTTCACATAGAAATACAACACTAGACTTTGTGGCGTGATTTCAACTTCAATTTAATTTTCATGAAGCAGAGTGACCAGTGACTGTGAGTGAGCTTGTGTTGTATTTCCTATATTTCTGGCAACACTTCGGATTGGAACAAAGGGATTAACATTGCTCCATATCCCATAATTTTACCTATTCTCAAGGAAACTTTATATACATCATACAAAAGTCAAAAGGTTAACCTATTTTTCCTCTCTAGTCTTGCTCGCATTAAATTTAAATACTGTAACAATACCAATATTAATAATAATATGTTCATTTTTTTATTGTAATATTTTCTAATTATATACTTGTTGGATTCTATAAAGATTTTAATTTATTAAAATATTTTTTTAATATTCATGAATATCTTTCACCTATTTAAACTGAGTAAGATTATTATGGACAAAAAAATAAATAATTAACATAAAATTGATATTATTGTTTAAAATGAAACATGTGTTATGCATTTAAAAATATGTTTATAACTTTATTGAATGGGTCTTATATGAAAGTAAATTTTAGGTTAAGACACATTTTCAATTACTTTTATCAAGCCTGAAAAAAAAAACTGCATATTAGATAAACAACTTAATTAATTTACAAACATGTCAAATTCAAACTTTTGGAAAGTCCAACTTAATCACTTCTTTTCTTTCTTTAAATGCAAAAGAATTTGACTTGAGTAACACATGATGAAAAGTATCTTTCAAATGTCAAATTTCATTTTTGAGTGAAAATTTGACCTTTTTTTTTTCCTTAAAAAATAACATTTTCTAGAAAAAATAAAATATAAAGAGCTTTTGAAAATATTGTCTAGAGAAACATTTTTTCTGGTTTATGCAAAGTTTCTTTTTCATGGACCTCCCTTCAATTTTTGAGTTTTAACATTTTATACCTTTTCTTCTTAGTTCTACTACATATGCAACCAACGTCATACCTTCTCCTTTTGAATTTGGGCACTTGAATATGCTTACCCAGTTCCTTCTCTTCTGTTTTCTAATTGTTTTTTTTTGTTACTCTTTTAGGATTGAATCTGTGATTTATTATTGCTCAAATATCTCATTTTTCAGACAGGAAATTTCAACATCTACTAAAGAATTTATTTGGACTATGCATACTGACAAAAGGAAATTACCTCAAATAAAAATATATATTTTTTAAACAAATGGTAAATGAATGTAATTATCAGGACCAGTTTTAAATAAAATTAAAATTTTCTAAATTTTAAAATGAATTATCAAATAACTTATACATTTTTTTAAAAAAGAAATATTTTGAACTTCAATTCTAATGTAACTTTTAAGCATGAAAGAAACTAGGCCAAACATAGCCCTAAGCACTGAGTTTACAGTTAATTTAGTTTAATCTTAAAGATATTTATACTCAGTTTGAATTGGGAAATAAATATACTTTATTTAATTAATTAAATAATTAATTACTTTTTATTTATAAATGGTCTAATCAGTTACACATACCGAGAATAAATTGTCAATCACTTGTAAAAAAATCAGTTAATTTGAATTGATGATACATTAATAATGCATCTGTACCCAATCCTTTCGAGGATAAGATTGTGTGGCCCTAGTTTTGCAATCATCACTCACGAATTAAATGAAAAGAATGACTTTTGTATATCTAAAAATATTTCATAAATTAAGTGGAAAAATGATCTACAAACTCGTCACTGTTATACCCTCAGCTACATTCCCATCTTTCACCACATTCAAAAGCTATAAAATACACGAGACCCTCTTAAAATAAACCACAGAATTTAATACTTTGCTTCCAAAACTTGGAAAGGTAACACACACAAAGTCACTTTCAAGTTCAATATAAAAAAGATCCTAAAGGAACATTATGACATGCATAACAGATCATTCACAATTTTAGGATAGAGATCTTTAAGAAATTAAGCACATTCAATGCTAAGCTTTTATTTCTGATCTCAACATCCAAACTAGAAACAAGCATCTAGATGGGTTGAATGAGGCAAGAACAATATATCCTATTTCCCGGCAATAGTAATCAGGACCACCTTTCTATTGTACAACTAAAACCATACATCTGCTACAGCAACTCATCCTCTAAAACTTCTTTATGTTTAAATTGTCACATTATACAAGGAAACATGATCTCTCATTAGTGCAACGTCTTCTCATTTGGAGACTGCAATATCAACATCCATCCATAGCTTGCAATTATTAGGTGCATGTGGATTTCCATCCATATGAAAAATTTCAGCACTGAGGCATTCAAGGTTTTGATGAACTTCTATACACAGCCTTGATCTGTCATCGCTTGAGCGATGGTCAGAAAAGCAGAGATGACTGCACCATGTACCAAAGCCCTGACAAAGCATGCTTACAAGCGTTAAGTAGGAGAGCATTAATTCTGAAAACTACAACAGCTTTCATCGATTATACACTTACTCGGGACTTTCCTTTTGATAGCCAAAATCAGTTGCTGCTTTCATAGCTCTTTGATAAGTCTGTTTCATTGCTTCCTATAAAATAAAAATAGAAAACTTGAGGAAATTAGTTACCATAAAATAGTATGCATTTGGTGCCTACCAAAGTTTGAAAGAAAAAAGTATAAATTAAATAAGAATAAATCAAAATTTCCGCATTTGTCAAATTTTGTCTAGCTAAGATTGTTGGTCTAGCATTAGATCAGCACCCAAATCTGGAAATGCCTTAGTAAGTATCAAATTCCTATTGGTCAAGTAATGCACTTTTTAAAGAATAATTCTCCCCAACACACATCCTCAGTATACAGTGTTCCTCGGCACAAAATAGCTGGCATTGAAGGAAACTGTACATTTTTTTTTAAGAAATAATGAGTGGGTTTTATTCAATTTGTATGGGAAAAGGATTTACAGTAAAAGGAAAAATGTGCCATGTGATAACCTCACAGGCTCACAACCAATTACAGTTCTCAAGGCAAACTTATGATATACAGGAACAGATTTCAAATTACCTGCAATTTAGATTCAAAATCCTCTGGTGACCAGTGCATCAAATTGCATTCATGATTTAATTCAAGTTCCCCAGCCACAACCTGCAAGCAAGGAGAACAGATGATTAGAGGAAGGTACCTCCAGATATCATATCACACATTCATGTAGAATCTGTAATAATTTGAAAAAAGAATCAGTTAAACAATACTAATCAATCTGACATAAGCTTATGTTGATTTCAATTCAAGTTTTATGCTGTGAAATGACAAGTGTGTGAATAAGCCTAACTGAGCACACTTGACTGAAGTTGTATATGAAAGTGCATTTAAAAAGAAAGAAATTCAACAAGAGGATCACCTTATACAAGTGTTAATAAACTGCTTTACAGTGTTAAGCTAAGGGATTATAACTCCTAAAACTTGTTTAGATACAAGATAGAAGCACTTTCGAGAGCTTCTCTACTAAAAACAAATAATATTTTCCAATGGAAAAACTCTTAAAAGTGCTTTTAAGCTTGTGTCCTAATAGGCTCTTAGTTAATTACATCATCAAATGAAAGCTTCAGGATAATGGTGATGGTGGATATCAATTACATGGGTAAATTATTAACATTTTTTAGCTAATGAATTACCACCCCTGAAAAAAAAAAAAAAGCCTTTGCCTATAGGCCCCAAAAATATTGTTAACGATTAATATTTTTTAATTAAAAAAGTCGAAGGAAAATTACTAATTGTCATATGGATAATATTAGCAGTAAATGTTTTTCTTCTAAAAATAAGTCACTCATGTTATTAATACTCTCTTTTCTCCTAATTCGTAACAAGTTATTTATCTCATTAGTTAATTTTTCATCTCTTATTGGTCCAATTTAATATATATATAAAATAAATTCATTATTCAATATTGTAAATGTTAGAATAGTCCAAAATACCAATTATCATAAGCATTAATTCCATTTTTTTAGAATTGAAGGTCTTAAAAGAAATCTTACAAGTGAAAAACGATAAACTGATTAACATATTCAATTACTAAAATAAGACATGATTCTTTTCCAAATACATATATCACTTATATAATAATGTTAGCACTTAGCAATTTCAATAATTGTTGCTTCAGCAAAAAGTTCTTGAACTAAATAAAATCTTAGTTAAAATCAAGAATGTTTCAAGAATGATTAATCGGTTTAACTTTATTATCAATTAAAAAAGAAAAGTTAAATAAAATTGATTACAAAAAATAATTCTGAATACTAAAAAGTCTAAAAGATAGATATTTAAATAAAAATATAATAAGCTTAATAAATTATTTTAATTACTTTACAAAGGCCTTATTTTTAGAGTTTGCTTTATGTCTGAATATACGATGAGCAGTTTCTGCTGTTTCACAAGCAATATGCTATCACTTTTCATCTAGAAAGTCAACTAAATAAGGGAAGTACTGGTTAAACAATTAAAACGTTTGTACTATGGGCTAAACATGAAGGGAAAAACAAAGAAATAAAATTCTTCAAACAAGGAACTATAATTCTTAGAAAATATTTTCCATTTCGTTTACCATTTCTCTGGACCCTGAAGTCAAGTGAAGCCTAAATAAAATATCAAAAAATATAGAACTAACTCTGCATAAAAATCTCACTTCAACCAGACTTAGAAGTTCCAGTTGGAATTAACATAACTGCATCAAAATATAATATTTATCGTAATTGTGAATTTCCTTATAGCAGCATAAAAATAAGGTAGTTAGTTATACATTATCATTGTTAACTTGTTATTGAAGATTTAAGATCAAAATCTGTGTGAATAAATATGAAAAATAAACTAAACATACCCCTCCAGCACCAGCAGCCATAGCAGGAGCAATGAGAACACTGGCTTTTCTCAGAACGTCAATTGCCTCAGGGGTACAAGGCATGTTTGAACCTTGGATATAAATAATATAAAGTAACTGCCTTTAATAAATATGAGACAAAAGAGCAAAATATAGTCAAACACATGGTGCATCTGATAGAAACAACTACCTTCTATTAGTAGGCGACAACCTGAATTAACCAAATTAATGGCATCAGAGTGATCAATTTCATTGTGTGAAGCACAAGCAAATGCAATATCACACCTTTCAATCCAGGGTTTCGCTTCATCATAATATTTCGACCGAGCATAGGTCTTTGAATAGTCTCTACACAAGCCAGATTTATGGATAAGGAAAAATTAGATAAAATTGCTCATCTGAAAAATATACAAGATTTTTACAGAGTGATATGACCCTCAAACTTCTTTGTTGATCAGTGATATCTCTTAAAAAGGATAATTTCATAAAGTCAAATCCATCTTCATCAACCAAATATCCTCTTGAATCTGAGAAAAACCTTTTGTCAAAAAACTGCATATGCCTTCAAAAGACTAGTCTATATCGAGGAATTCAATCCCAACAATTACGTTACAACAATCCTACTAATTGATGCTATCCTTAATGAGGATGAATAATAAACATGACATCTGACATGCAATAATGAAAAACGGGACGAACACGTGTATTTTTGTTACAATAAATGAATAAATAATGTATACAGCACCAGAAGAAATGGAGTAGTTTCTGTACGCTCAAACAACTAAAATTACCTGATACTGAGATGGGAAGAGCGCCATAAGCAACAAGCTTCTCTAAAACATGCATTGCAATCTTTCCAGATCCACTCACAACACATCTACAGAAAAATATAAATGAAAAGGATTTGAGAATCATGAATGTGTACAATAAAGATAATAAGTTACAAACTTTACCAGATAGTTGGTATAAATAGCAGCTAAAATAACAAACAAAATTATTGAAATGCATGCAAATGGGAGTCTGTTCAAAAAGCACAGGAGTTTTGAACTCTAGAGACACTACTAATTATTAAAATGAGATTCTTCGCAGCATTCTATGAATATATATATATATATATATAGCAACAAATGAGGGCTAAAAAGGTATCATCAATAATGGACAAGTTAGTAGAAACAATCATTATAAAATGGCCTAAATTAAAAGAGAAACCTTAATCCTTTGAGTTCTTTATTCATGTCAGCGAGTATGAGCTGCGCAAAGAAAACCTACAGATGTGTGAAAAGCTTGTCAAATGTAAGAACTTGAAACAAGACAAATAGTTCTTTATGATGATATTCTAGGTCAATAATGGACAAGCATGCTATATGCCTTGCTTTAAAATAAAAAATAATAAATGGTAGATATGAAATCTAGATAACAATGCTTAGAGGTCACTAATAAGAGAAGAAGCCATGGCACAGGAAACTGAAAGAACCTGCCATAAAAGGATATCTTGTTGAGAAATTCAAAATAATATGCATATATAAATGATGACAAAAAGAAAGTTACCATAGGCCACATTTTGTACATACTCACTCATATTTTCATAATACACCATACATTTACAGTGTAAGAATTAAAAGTAAAATTACCAAGCCATAACCAGTAGCTTCAGGTCGAAGACTGGAGCCAGACCAAAATACCCTTGGTCCTGTAAAACTTCCCTGCATAAGTAAGGCATACATTTGAAAAATTCATAAAAGTTACTCTGTTTTCCTTTCTGCCATCAATCCCAATATAATCAGTATTTCAAAAATTCATTCTGCTGAACTGATTAGATGAGTGGAAAAATCTCCTCTAAAGCAAACTTAAGTGCACAATGTGTATCCAAGTTTAAAATTTAGTTTATTAAGATTGCAATGTACTTTAAATCAAATCAAGGGTAGATATACACTTGTACACTTCACAAACAGGCTCACTTTAGAGGAGCCTTATCGTAGATATGTAATATATTGTGCAAATAGGCACATTCCTTTGTGCATACTGCACAGTAAAAAAAATAGCCAAAAAAAAAGAAGGTAAAAAATATGGGGAGAAACAAAGGAAAAAAGTGAAGCAAAAGGATGTTATAAGTCTGTTTGGATACAAGTAAAAAGCACTTTCGAGAGTTTCTCTACTGAAAATAAAGAATATTTTCCAATAGAGAAACTCTCAAGCGTTTCTAAGGTTATACCAAAACAGACTCAAAACCTACTAATTCAGATAATCCTACATTCCCACTAGTCAATACTTGAAAGTCCATCAACAGCGGTTTTATATTCTTGCAATAACTAAAAGAACAGAGAAATAAGCCCACAGCACACCTTGCTCATCTGAACTGAAGTGAACTTCTTGTTTCAAGCCTCCAGCCTTCATGAATCTATAATATTAATACTAATATACTATAAAGAGAACTCTTTCACTTGGTATCTAATTCTTAAATTTTCAAAAAGTCATCGTGTTTCTAAGATGATATAAAAGAGACAAAAAAAATCATTTAAAATTAACCCCAAAAAAAAGCCCACATGCTAGAACCACCTCCCGCTTTTGATGAACCTAAAGTTCTTTTATTGTACATCAACATTCAATTTTTCGGTCAACTTCATTCAGTTCTTAAATTTAAGAGAGAGAAAATCATCATATCATCATATAATAAACTAAAGTTGCAATTGTCTTATCAAACTGCCTTCATAAGTGCCTCTTCTAGTCTTAAGACAAAATGACAAAATCACAAGTGTACTTCATCAGAAAGGAATTTTATCTACAAAAAAAAATTACTAACAAAAAAATGAAAATAGCAATATAGAATAGGAGGGGGAAGTACTAAAAAAGTGATCTCTTAATCTGAGATATAAAAATACATGGGATTTAAGGGGGAATCACATATTAAAAGGGAGAATATGACACCTAATAGTTAATTAAAGCTTAAAAGAATGTTTACATTACCTGAAAATAACCAGCTAGACGTCTATACTGACCAAAAAGATAACCCATTTCTCGCGTACCAACACCCATTTCCTCTGAGGGAAGGTCCTAATAAACATACATTAAGAGAAGAATAAGATGTAGAACAGGTTTTCAATGTAACTAGGTTAAAAGATACACAAAAAGGATATATTTTTAGTTACCTTGTCAGGACTCATATACCGATACATCTCACTCATGAAACTTTGGCAAAATCGCATGATCTACCAGCTTATCAAAGTAACACTTAGAAATTTTGTAAGTACTTGAGTAGATATAGATAAAATAAGTTGAAAATGCACCTCATTATCACTTTTTCCTTTTGGATCAAAATCGCTTCCACCAGCTGCTCCTCCTAATTTATAAGGCGATAAAGCATTCTTTAATGTCTGCAGAGAAGGATGTGTCATATGATTGGTCCAATAAAATCAATGCAGCTTGCAATCTAGATTCTTATTTCTTGTTGATAGATGAACCTCAGTAAATTTGAAAGAAAAAAAAAGCCTTAGATACACATGATCAGTCAATAAAATTGAAGATTATATATGTGTGAGCATATGTGCCTGTGTGGAAAGGAGACATCTCTCAAGCATAAGCATATGTTTTTCCATACATTTAGGTAAATGTCACACAAAAGAAGAATATACCAAATGAATAAATCCCCCAGCAGTCTTTAAAATATATGTAGGAAAAAAAAACGTGTCTTATGCAGGTATTATTTGTTTAGAACCTAAAATCTCTGTATGAGAACATTCAGAAGAACTCTAACTGAAACACCCCCAACCCAATCTCTTCCACTGTATACCCTCTAGCAGTAATTAACCCGTCTCTCTCTTCCCCTCTGATATATCATTTGTATTTCTTTTCTAGTAAACTTATTTTTATTCATTTCGATATATGCATGTATATATGCAACCCATGACCGTTTTGCATATTTATCCTCATAATGTTTGTGCTTATCATCCTCTTTTATTACAAGAAAAGGAAGAAAACTTCTCACATTCTGCACTTTTTTGTTCATGATGACTAGAGTATAGGTTTCCAACTTGTCAATTTTCAGGTGCACCAGGTTCAGATTAGACAAAAATGCATTGACATTAATATAGGCTAGGCTCTGAAAAAGTTGAGTGGTTAGCTTTACGAGAATTTTTCTGCATTAAATACAAAAATAATTATAATACCTGTTCAAAAGCAAGGAACTTGGCTATACTTAAATTCATTGATGGATGAAAACGAATACCACCCCTACATGGACCCAATGACTGGTTAAATTGTATACGGAAGCCACGATTAACATGCGTCTCACCCCTATCATCCACCCATGGAACTCGGAAAATAATCATTCGTTCAGGTTCCACCAAGCGCTCCATGATGCTAACATAACTGAAACATAAGAATAGTAATGAAATGCATCCAATATTTAAGCATTAGTATTGTCAAGTCTGTTGAGTAAATAAATAAATACACAATTATTACTTCATTTGCATAAAACTCACTGCGAATTTTTTGCTATGACTCTCTCAAGAGCATGAACTGTTTCCTGAACTGCCTGAATGAATTCAACCTCATGAGGATCCCTTTTTAGAGCAGCTTCAAGAATTGATCCAGCTGTTTTTGACACAATATCTTCAATTATAAAATTGTCAGAAAACACAGAAGAAACAATAATATTTTTCATAATACACAAATAAAATAAAATAAAGTTTGATCAAAGTACTTATAACCTAAATCTGACATTGTAGGATGCAGCTTAAGAAAATTACATTGATATTAAACAAGATGAAAATCAATTTAATTAAGGACAGAGGCAGAAACCAATAAAATTGTAAAGTGTGAAGATCAACTAAAATTTGTAATATGCCCCTAGTCCAAGTATATAGGAGAAAGAGACATGGATTGTAAAGAAAATAATGGACCTAGCATAGGGAATGGTCGCTTCAGACTTCAGAGGAACTGAAGAAATGACCACCATGGGATGCAATGATGCAAAAGAGAAGTTTGTTATGCAAGGATAGCTGAAAAAATGCGGAGGGAGAGAATCAGAGGGGAAATGACTGAAAATCACAGGGATACATACTAATCTGAGGTTAACTGATGGGACCAATGGTCCAGAAAAGGACCAAATGTTGAGTCAGAGCCTCGGAGGGGTGCGAGGCCAAAAATATGGAAGGTTCTTTAAGGATTATCAGTGAACATTGGGGGAGGCTCACATGATGCGGAAGTTCTAAAGGGGCATGAGCAAGAGGGGAGGGTCCAAGTTGGAATAAGAGAAAAGGGAGCAATAAATAAAAGGCAGAAAATCATCTCAAATCACTAAAATAATTCAATTTGCAAAACAGAATGGATTCACAGTTATGTTCATATTTATCAAACAGCATGATGTTAGTACTCATATAACTCAAAGGGATCTGTAGAAGGCAGCCACATAGAATATTCATAGCATCCTATATAGTTGATAAAATGCATCTTTTCATAGCCTTTTTAACAATATATTTGCTATGCGTTAATAGTTGTAGTTAATGTTTAAAATTATCTCGAACAAGCATAGTTGACTGTATTCAATGAATCATATAAACAATATATTCATATATTGTAAAACACACTGAAGACCATCAACATGTTCAAAGAATCTAAAGCATTATCTGCACATGCCAGCGATTATAGGATCCAAGATGGCCAACCTTTTACATAAACAGGCTTGTCAACAATTATTTTATCCTTGGAGGCCATTTGAAGACGAAGAGCCTCTTTGTGAAGCAAACTGTTGTTATGTTCTTCTAGCGCACTCATCTGCATATTACGACTGCCTTCATTCCCATAAGGATTTCTTCTGTGCTTCCTGCCATACTCCCTGCAGACAGAGCAAAAAATCCTTGCTGTCTCATCTTTTACATCAACATAAGCCCACTTATAGGTGTCTGCCCATTCCTCTCTCCATCTTTTAACAACCTTCTTCTTCCTCTTAGATGGTTGGGACTTTGACATATCTTGAACATCGTTAGGAAGCTGAGAAACCATCACCATCTGCTTGCTCTCCCCGTGCTCTTCGGTAGAAGATTCTCTTGGAGGGCCACCAATTAGATTAGCATTACCAAATGCAGGATCATCATCCCCTGGCCCAATTTCTAAATCAATTTCTTCACCAATCTCCCTCACAACCAAGTGATGCCTCTGGGCTTGCTGAATCAGATTCATATCATCTATTGCAGAATCCATCCCTACTCCACTGGAAGGTTGCAACATTCAGCATGACAGCCCCTTCACAAATTTAAAATCCTTTATGTTCTGGAAATAGTACACCACATACATCAGTTAATAGAAAAATCAAAGGATTAAAAAAAGCAGAAAAAGGGGAAAAGTTTCTCTGAAATGTTTATTTAGATAATCCTGCTTCATATGCTTGAATTGAGTTAGATTAATTTCATATTCTCAAGATATAGAACCAACCAACCAACCATAGTTTACCGAAAATTCAAAAATAAATAAATAAACTCACAATTTCAGTCTAGTTCTAAACTTCTCAGGAGTCAGGTTACTTCTGAAGGCTCTACTTCCCCACATTAAGCATCACTTGATATTGATAATGTAGCACTAAGAGAAAACAAGAACTCCACTCAAGATTGATAAAAAAATTTGGCATTGTCAAGGCCAGTTCCCAGTTCCCAAAAACCTTAACAAACAAAAAATAATTTCATTTCCAACGCTCCATGTGTTAGCAAACACAGCAATTGAACAAATTTTCCTCAAAAACTACCCTCTAGCCAAGATTTAGCACGTACCCTTTTCTTGTCCAAATCAGTGACACCCAAAAAACTCAAGCTAATGACAAGTGAACAGAGAAAGGAAAAACACAGTTTTTTGGTAACGACCCACCGGTTAGAATCGAACATTTGGGAATGGGCAGGACTCGAATTTGACAATACCTTTGGAATTTGAACGAAAGTGGTGGGTGGAGCTGAAGAGAGAGCGCGAGGAGGGAATTTGTTTGAGCTGCAAGTGGATCTTGGGCCTCACCCAGACATTTGGAGTTGATTAAAAGAAGAGAACCTTAAACCAAGGTGACTGAACTGAGTGAGTGTGCTTCTTGTCTTTGTTTTGATGAATCATAAGCAACGTTAATCCTTTGTGTTTGTCTAAAAGGATTTGAGAAGGGAAGAGAAGAGCCAAACAGGGCATAATAATTCATAATTCTATCGCCTTACAAACAAACCAATTCTTTTCAACTTCTTTTAGATGAGCGTTGAGCACAGTTGACCCTCCTGTCAAATTTTATAAAGTTTTATTTTATTACAACCTCCGATCCGATTAATACATATACCAGGAATCAAAATAAAATAAATAAATTTTACAATAATTATTTTTAAAATAATAATTTTACAAGTATCGACATAAAAAAAGTAATATATTATATGAACAAAAAAATATTTAAATTTAGTCTTAAATATGTTTTTCTTAGTTTTTAACTAAATTTATTTTTGATTTCTTAAATTTAAAGTCATTATTTTTAGTTTTATAATTTTCAAAAATTTATTCTAATTTAAAATTTAGGATCAAATACTTTTTTCCGTGAGTTTTATTTAGGTATCTCATACTTCTTACATTTAATATAAATAATTTTTCACTCACTTGCATCTTTAAGATAAATGAAAGTAATTTCTTAAGAATAAAAATGACGAAGGCAGTGAATCAAAGAGAATGTAAGAAGAGTGAGTGCTCTCAATTTGTGAGCGGAAATGTATTTTCATTGTATTGAAGTAATGAAGTGAATGAAATGGATACAAGAGAGTGAGGTTGTATATACGTATGCATAATGTATTTATACTAGTTGCAGGTGCATGAGTTGGGAAACTTGTAACTGTCATCAACTACAGTTCATGCCACTGTGCACCAACTGAGATGGATTAATTATTTTCAAATGAAAATGTTCAAAAACAAATTCGACTAATTATTCTCTGTAATCTATAATAGGCGCAAAACCAAAAACTTATAATTTAGTAAAAAAAAAAAAAAAACTTTTAAACTACAAATAGATATTAAAAGCTGAAAAAATTGTTTATAAACTAACTTATTAAATTGAAAATATATTTAATAAATGTAATGTCATAAAAATAGTTAGTTATTTGAGACAAAAAGAGAATTCAAATAAATTAATAAGAATAATTTTATATAAAAAAAAAAAAACTAACTAACATCTTATCATTTAACTTGTTTTCATAAGCTTTTATAACTCATGAAAATAAACCATAAATTATTAAAATAAATTCGCATATAAAAAATATTTTAACCAAACTAATTTATAAGCTAATTTACATGATTTATTGTCAAATACACTCTTAATTTAACATGAGTTTGACAATATAAGAGCCTTTGAATAAACTTTTCCATAAAATTTTGTTAAAAAAAAATTGGTACAAACTAATTTATAAAAACTCATTAGCTTCTAAAAAAAACTTGTTTATTATTTTTTTTATAAAAACTTGTTCATTATTTATAAAAACATGCTCATTATCTTTTATATTTTTTTTTCTCCTATAAATACTTAAGAAAAATCTTATCCACACTCCACACACAGAACTTAAAACTCCAAATGAGAAGTCATAATGGAATAGCAATACCATCCCCACCTCTGGAACCAAACTAGTCTGAAGTTGACATGGACTACATTAATTAGATGAAGGAAATAAATACGAATATTATCTTTCTTCTTTTAGTATAAAAAGATGTACACTCTTTCCTTTCTTCATCATTTCAAATGGCAAATAAATAGTAGCTGTCCACAGCCAAGAATAGCAGTTATCTTTGAATAATTCACCAAGGCTTTGAATCCAAACAATTTCGACTCTCCCCACCCTAAAATGTACCATTTGATTCAGAAAATTGACGTGTTGTCCATCTAGGACCAAAAATTAATCAAAACCCTCGAGTAATGCAACTTGCACAAACATGAGAGAGAATGAGTGATTGTGTCACAACATAAATTCAAACCAATAAATTCTATATGCTGTTTCTTAAGTACTTTTTTATACTATTCTCTCAAATTAGAATGGAAATACAACTTTTATTGTAAAAATTGACATTAAGGGTTGACATATGTTAATGAAATACTACTCTAATTCCCATTAAAGATCAATAATAAAACACTTGAGTAATTTAGTCCAACTTCTGACCTTGTCAAACTGACCCACCAATCCAACTTATGTGTTGAGTAAATGGTATTGAACGTAGCATCAGCAAGGTATGTGGTCCACGAGAACTCACTTATAACTTGATCGATCAATCAGACAACTAGTTCAAATTGTAATTAGTTATGTGGCTACGAAGCTAGACTTTGCTTCTTTTTTTTTTTCCATATCTAAATTGAACAAAAACAAACTGAACATTTTCTGGTAGAAATCCATTTAAAGAAACCAAATATGGTGATCAGTGGAAAAACAATGGCCAAGTTGGAAACTTAAGAATAAAAAATAACAAAGATGCATTATAGATTTCCTTTGAACCTCGTCGATCCTCCATTAAAAAGGAACATAAAGTATAAATTAAATTTTGTATAGTGCAGTTCTGGATCCCCAAATCAGCGTAATCTCCATCCACTACCAAAAATATTTAGTGCAGAAGCAACTTGTCAAGTAGGACACTACCATAGATACTCGAGGTTATTAAAAAAGCATATAACAAAATGCGCGTGTGAAATACATACATAGATAGATAGATTAAATAAATTAGAATATCTCCAAGCCATGGCAACACTTCCTCTACGTGATGATGAGATTGAAAACAAAACAACCTCACTACAACAACATTCATCTCTCTCCATACTCGGCCATAAAAAATGACAAGCTTTCCTTGTCTCTTCCATCATTCATCATAAAAGCATAAAAACCCGAAACAGAAGAAAAGAAAAGACTTTACCTAATTGATCCTATTGAGTGGCCTTCTTCTGGTTTGTGATCCTCCCTATAACCACATATATGATATATCATATACCAACATTCAACAGGCTTAAGCTTAACCTAGTTATATATATAATATAAGTAACCCTTTTCACAACATGTCTACATATACAGATCAGCATGGCAAAGTGTAGCATTGTAAGTAGTAAAAGCCAGATTCAGCCAAAAAGATTCAATTGATTTTTTCATCACTGAAAGCTTGAGCCAGGAGTGTAAATAGCAAGGTTAGACCACCCATTAGTCCCATTCCAACAGCTTGTGTCACCATTTTGCATACTCAGAAAACTCTCTGCAGCGCCATCACTTTGCATATCCAACCCAGGATTCCGACCCGAACCCGGATCCACCACTTGACCCGAAACATTCTCCCCAAACTCTTCCATTTGCACAATTTTTAGACTCGACCCACTTGAATTGAGACCCTCCAAGAGGTTCCCCAAGTGGCCACTTGATGCCAAAAGGGAACTGAAACTCCCACCAACACTAAGCATCCTTGTGCTCTGATCCACCGGGTTGGGGTGATTCCGGGTCGGGTCGGGTTCTGAGACGGGTGCAGAGGAGGGTGAGGGTGATGGTGCAGGGCGTTTGGCGTTATTTGATGATCGTTTTGTGTTCTTTCTGCTTCCACCCCCCACGGGGATGTTTCTCAAGGCACCACCTTTGGTCCAATACCTTCTGCAGTTCTTGCAAAAATGGCGTGGCTGAGAGAGGTTGTAGTTGTTGTAGTAGCAGAATTTGGTGTTGGTGGAATCACAACGCGGGCACTTGAGTTGTTCTTGTTCGGGAAAGTGGGGTTTGATGGGCTGGAACAACGTTGGATCCTGCATTCTCCTGTTCCTAAAAGGGACTAACTTGTTGGGTTTTGAAGCAGTTTTTGTCAGCGTGCGTGGAGATCTAATCTAATCTGAAGTAAAAGCAACAAGTGAGGGAAAGAAGACAAAAACGCGGGATATTTGTTCAGAGGGTGAGAAGGGTTTTGTTTTAGTAGAACTAATAATAATAATAATAATAACTGACTGAAACCGACCAAAATCCTAATAAATGAACTGAAAAAGGTGATTTTATGCAGAAGCCAAACAATTCCACAAAGTTGTTGTTTGTTTGAAGCTTGAAGATAAAGAAAAGCAGAAAGAGAGAGAGAGAGAGAGAGAGAGAGAGAGAAAGTTACATGGTGTGATGGATAAGTTGAAAGTTGGTTTGTGGATGGAGGAAACTGGAGATGGCAAACAAGATTCGAGAAAATCGATGTTTGTTTGGAGAATGGAGATGACTAGCACAGTCCGCAGCCTTCAAATAGAAAGAGAAAATGCCCCTTCCTTCCCTTCCCTTCCCTTCTCTACTTCTCTTCTCTCACACTCCTCTCTATTCTGCTCACTGCTCCAACCCTTCAATCTTTACCTGTATTCCCATTAATCACTTAACCAAACTATGACTTAATACTCCACTATATATTTTTTATTTAAATTAAATTCACACGTAATTCTAATTTTATACATAAAAATTATATTAAGGTGAAAAATCACGTTGTGTCCTGTGTATAGTGAAGTTTTTTTTTTTTTTTTGTCATATATGGTGTGTTTAATAGAGATAATTTAGTAGATTATGAAAATAAATATTAAGAAATTAAAAATAATGTGTGTTGAATAAATGATTTAAGTAAATTTTTTTAAAAATTATCATAAAATTCATATAGATTTAATTTCATTTGTTTGTAGGCAAATTTGTATGAAAATTTTCACAAAAGAATATTTGAACAAAAATAATTTATACTATTAACTAAATAATTAATAAAAGTAAAAATTTAATTATATAAATAATATATTTTTAAAATACTAATTTCTCATTACTTTTTACATATTTCTATTCTATTAAATAACTATAAATTTCACATCATTTTCTATTTCTTTCATCAAATCAATCCTCACTTATTCTTCTTCATTCTCTTTAATTATTCTACCTCTCTTAAATAAAACAATAGTAAAAGTTGATAAACAATTGGCGAAAGATATTGAATAAATTAATATTAATTAATTATTAAATTAAATTTAATAAATAAAATTTATCAAATTGTTTTTTAATGATAAAAAACTATAAAAGATAATGTGATAAAAATACATGATTAAATGTTGAAAGTATACAATCTAACTTTATTTATTGTTATAAATATAAAATTTTACATAACCAATTAGTGGTTATAATTTGTGTGATTTTTAAAGTGATTATTCTGAAAATCAACCAATTTATTATCCAAGTAAATTATGATTGGATGGTTTTACAGTAAAAGTATATCACAATGAAATTCAAACTTAACTATGACACTAAAATAAATTTTTTTACATGTATCTTCCATAAGAAATAATACTGTTTGAGTCGAATATAATTACTATTAATAAAAGATTCTCTCTTCAAATATTTATTATAATTATATATTCAAATTTTAAACTCAAAATCAATAATTAAATTAAAATAATATTTTAGCGATTGATTCACGTATTCATCAAGAATTACATTATTATGTATTCAAACCTTTTGTTAATCTAACGAGAAACCAATGCCCGATTAATTCTTATAATTCTATCCACAAAGTTAAACACACTTGCTTGATAACTATTTTTTTAAAAAATATATCCATAGAAATTTGATGTTTAATTGCATGTTTAGAAGGAAGCAATGATTAGAAAAGATTAAAAAAAAATACTTTAACGATACTATATCTTGAACAGTCTGTAACTATTTATTTATTGGAGATGTTCTTAATTAAAATAATAATAATAATTCTAAGAAAAATTTACAAATGAATAGCCCTAAACAAGGTATAGACGACAATAAATTATTAGTTGACTTGATCCAACATCGGGTGCCAAAAGTGTAGAAAAGAAGTAATGATAGATAAATGGAAGTACAAGAATGATGTAATAAAAAAATTGATAAAGAGACAAATAAGAATATTGAGAGAGGGAATTAAGCGTAAGAACATATATTCCGTGGTTATAAACTAACTTACCTAACAAACCATGTTTGTTTGGGTAATGACCTTATTACTGTTGTATTTTAATTTTGGTAGAAATACGATAAATATACGTATATTAAGACTTGACCTGACCGACAAGTCGTAGCTTGAGTTGTGATGAGCCACGGCTTGAGCCGCTGGAAAGTGTGGCCCAGTGAGTCCACCAGAGGCTTGCGCGTGAACAAAGCAAGAGCCACCCCATCATGATTTGGATATCATCAGCAGATCAGAACCGTCGAATCCCCAGCGAAGCGAATCAGGGACGTCCAATGAGAATGCGAACGGTTGCGTTGAGTCACCGCCACCCAAACAGAGGCACAGCCAATGTCACCCGCGACACGTGGCAGAACCCCATGAGTGGCATACGCACTAAAAAGTGGAAGGTGCTCGACTCTCGAGTGGTACAAGGCTATAGTGGTAAATTTCCACCCCTCCAAAATATGCTAAAGTAACACGCGGGTGAGACGTGGAGGAGCCTGGGTCCCATTGGGCTTGTCTCTTTATTGGCTGGTTGGAGTCTGCATAGTTGACCGGTGTAGCTGTGATGTGGAAATGGTGGCATTGAGGGTGACGTTAAGGGAGCATGTGGGTCCAACGCTGTAGCGAATTATTTGGAGGCTGTGATTTGATGCGGTTGATGGATTGGAATTGAAGAGAGGCACCGTCCTCGTGCGCGTAGATCATTCATTAGGTGGACCCCATTTATGACTATTTCGATTTACGGTGACTCATGATCAGGGACACGCGTGCGGCTATGATTGCACTTCTTCTATTTTCTCTCTTTCATTTCATCAAACTAAATAACCTAAACTACATCCCCTAATCATCACCATAATTTCTGACTTTATCTCATAAATGTCCTTCGGAAAAATTATTTATATTTTAATTAACTAATACTTAACTAGAATTCAAGGAGGAGAAAATTGAAAAACATGAGCACCTTCTGATATAGGACTCTACTATACTTAACTAGAATATCCATAACCTGGTTTACTTACCGAAATACATGTTAGCATGTAACATCGTGATCATTTCCAAGAATATATGACCTGTTTTATTTCCTAAAGAATAATAAACATGGTATTGTCATTTATATACTTATTAACATTGGTTTTCAACTTAGATCCAAAGTCGCGATTGACGTTATCACTTTACTCTTTTAAGAGTTAACTTAGTGAAAAATAGTAACATCTCTTTATTAAATAGAAAATTAAAATATGGTCTATAAAAATGTTTTCATTTAATATAACTATACTAATTTAAATAGAGAAAAATACTTAAGATAATTATTTTTTTTGTTTTTATTATTTAATATTAAAACTTTAAAAAATAATGTGACATTTTCTAATCAAAAGTAAAATTATTTACTCAAATATAAGTTTAAATAGATTATATTATAATACAAGGCTATTTTTTTATTATTGATAATTTTTTTTTAAATATTAAATTTTGATATTAAAACTAAAAATAATAAAGAATTTTGAAAGAGACCAGTGGTTGAGAAAGTTTCTAAAAATTTTATTGAAAAAAAAAGCCAAAAATATTATCATAAGAATAATCTATAAAGTAGTCTTATTTAATATAGTTATTCTAATTTATATAGAGAAAAATATTTCAATCAAGGTTTTTTAAAATTATTTAATAGTTTTTAAAAAATAAGATAAAATAAAATAATGTGACATTTCGTAATTAAAAATAAAAATATTTTCTCAAATATTAACTTTAAAAGATTCCATTATTTTCTAAAAGTGATGAAATAAAAATAACATTGAGCGTAATACATAACTTTACACCATTCTAACTTGTTTTGATACGAGAAATAAAAGGAAACAACGTGAAAATAATATAGATAATAAAAAGTAATATAATATACTATTTAAATATATACATATATCTATAATTGTTGTGCATTGGGTTACCATACATATATATATATGTTTTCATGTTGGTGAGATATTGTCCGCTTTGGATGGAGACAAGTGTGTGTATATAAACTATCCTTGTGCATCCTCTTGTTTGAACGATATGGGACTTTGTTTGCATCCCAACAATCAAACTTAGATCCATCTGTCAACCGGTCACCTGATCAGACCATCGACTCTAATACCACTTGTTGTGCACTATGAGGTTATCACACATAACCACATGTCTCCACATTTGTGAGATATTGTCCCTCACGGTTTTGCTTTTGGACATCACTCAAAAGACCTCTCAACCAATAGAGACGATTGTGTGTATATAAACTCATATGCATCATCTTGTTTGAACAATGTGGGACTTTGTTTGCATCCCAACAATAATCACAAACTCTATTTCTTCTATCAAGCAAATCCATGACTTTTTCACTTGTGATGGTTGTAATTCATCGCCTCTATCATCCATTGCCAACTACTTATCCCCTTTACCCCCATTTCACAAACTCTCCAAATCTTTATTAGTCATGACTTCTCTATTAAAGTAAAATTACAATAGTCACTCCTTTGTTGCTTACGCGTGACGACTGTTTCTTTACTGCATTTGTTGTTCCTTATCACCTTCCTATCTCCTAAATCTTCCAAATCTTCACTAGTCACAACTTCTTTGTTGAAGTGAAAACTATAATGGCCACACTTTTGTTGCCTATGCATGATAGCCGCACTTTTGGTTCCTCTATTGTCCCTCGCTTCCTCTTTATCTTGATGGTCGTTCCTCCATTGCTTATGTGCGACAATTCCTCCTCTATTGTCTCATATCATGACACATTAGAATACAAATTTTCATCACAAAAACATACTTGTTCACATGTCAATTTCACTACAACTTTCCATTTTATTTATAATTCTCTCTACTCAATGTTGTATTTAATCCACCACTACATGATAATCCAGTAGACTCTTCGTTTGTGGTTTTCAATGTGACAAACATGTTAATCTTACTACAATTTTTTCTTTTATTTATAACTCTTCACTTCTAAATATTCTACCTAACCCACCTCTACAAAAGAATCTAATAGAGACTCTACAATTGTAATTTTTAATTATATAAATATAAGAAGAATAAAGAAATTGAGAGAGATGATATATGAGAATGTGGCAGTCATTTTTTTCCCTCTCACTATATTCTTCATTTGTTTCCACTAACATAATTTGAGATTTGATAACCCATTTTACAAACTAGCGAAACAATGTTCTTCTAATGTGAAATAAATTTATTTGATGATTTGTTTCGATTGACATGTGAATCTCTATTTTTTGTAAAATCAAATGATATTGAAAACAAATGAATTCTATAAATTTTTATAAGTTCTTTTTTCATCTCCATTGTCAAACACATACATCTTTTACATTTTTTTTTCTTTTAAAAAGTCAAGGTATACCCAACCCATCTTTACATGAGAATCCAATAAAGACTCTATAATTATAACTTTCAATGGTATAAACATAAGTAAAATCAAGAAATTAAAAAAGT